AGATTCCCGGTGCTGGGGGTTGCTCTTGAAGGGGAAGCGCAGCTTGCAGTCGTGCGGGGGCACGAATCGGGCGGGGGGCCTGCGCAGCCCCCCACCACGGCCCCCAGAGCCCTGCAGTCCCTGCAGCCGTAGCTGCTCCTGCTTGAGCCAGCGGAGGCGGCCACGCCGGAAAGCCGGGTCCTCCTCCATCAGCCGGGACACCCGCTCCAGGCTCGACAGGGGTGGCGAGGGGGGCCGGCCAGCGGGTGGTCGCTCTCCGGAAGCAGCCTCTTCTATGGCCTCAGGTCCTTCGGGGGAAGCCCAGGAGGCCTCTTGGCTTTCTTCATTCTCATCCTCGTGATCCTGGGGGAGGAGGGATGTGCGAGAGAAACAGAGGGGATATGAGGAGAGCTGGGAGAAGATGGTCCGGGAGGAGTCCCTGGGAAGGGAGGGCGCTGTGGGAGTGGGCAGAGGAGAGCCAGCGGGTCTGCGGGACAGCCCTTGTCCGCCACTTTCTAGTGTGGCATCCGCAGGCCTTCGGCTTGTAGCGGTTGCACGTCTTATGGACAAAGCTGACTGCTGGCAACACCCGCAGTCCCGGCTGCAGGGAGCCGCTGCCAGGAGGGAGAACCATTTCAAGCAGGTGCTGAGAACTGGGCCCCGCACGGAGCAGGCCCTCGGTAGAGAGCTGCCCAATGGAACACACAGAAGAAAGCTCCCTGCTACCAAAGGGCTTACATTTCCGCAGGCTGAGAGAGCAGACAGGCAAATCCCACGTCTAGGAGGAGGTCTGTGGGAGAATGCCAGCAACGTTTCATCCTGTTTCTCCATGGACAGGATGAAGGCCCTATGTAGATGCTACACACACACACACCACTATACACAGATACGCATGTACTCCAAGATACAGCATGTACCTGAGAAAAACCAGGGTCACTCTAAAAGCAGCTCTGCTACCAGGGCTGCGGTCCAGCTGCACGTGGGTTTGTTTGACACAAAAGGTCTTTAACCATGTCTCTGTGGTCCACAGCCACGATGCCTGCAGGCAAGTTCTCTCAATACTCTTGTTACAGTGCCTCCAAAACAGGCCCGATCACAATGGGGCTCCATGGGCTGAGCCAGTGGCATTCAGGATGCTCGGGTGACTGTTTTGGGGGACATTCCTGAGAGGGACGGAGGGTAGACTTAATCCCAGGGTGAGCCAGGGGCTGGCTGATAAAGAAGTTAGAAAGAAGTAGAACTGACTGATGGGGAAAGCCTAGCTAGTTGGGCTGAGGACTTTGTTCTAGCAGGACAGCACCCCTGCGCCTTCTTTGGAGGGTAGCAAGGGCTGTCCTAGACAAGTCCCTGGGGAGACCTTAGCCCAGCCACCCTACAGTCCTGGTCCTGCCCTTTCAGACCCTCAACTCCGCGGGCGTAGACAAGGAACATGATTTGAGTCCTCGAGGATACCCAGACTGCTGTTGTGATATGGTGTCAATCTGGAGTATCTCTGGGAAAGGGTTGGAGAAAGGGAACCATCTTCACGAGTGCTGGGCCTAGGCCAAGGGCATGTTGAGAGACCGCTTCGCCCTTGGCCATTTCTGTTTCATAAAGGCTTCGATGATTTTGCAGCGATGTTTGATGCTTTTTCTGACTTACCCTCACACGTATATGTTGCTGTTGGTTGCCGGGACGTCAATCCCATGTGTGCAGACTAAAACTGCATCAGAGGGTTTTCAAGGCCTCTGACCCTTTGGCAAGGAAGGCCTTTCTTCCTCGGTGCCACTGAGTGGATTTGAACCACCAGCCTTTCAGCTAGTACTCAAGCACGTAACTATTGGGCCACCCATGGATTCCATGTTACACACACACGATGAACACACATACCATGCACACAGACATAGGGCAAGAGAAAAGCTCAGGCACAGTGAAGCGGTGAGAAGCAGAGGGCAGGACGGCCTTGTTGTTCCGGGTCTCACATCTGGCCTGGGCTCTGTCTTTGACTGGGTGCCATCTTCCCACTTTTCTATCACTCATTTCAGCGCAAGACAGGCAACTACATTTTCCCTGACAGGGGGCCTGGTGGGTGGCACGTTACCCATTGGGTTGCTAATCACAAGGTCAGCAGTTCCAAACAACCAGTCATACGATGGGAGAACAATGAGACTTTCTGCTCCCATCTAGATTTACCGTCTGGTAAAACCCAGAAAAAACCATACCCAAGGTGAATGGGGGGTGGGGGTGGGGGGGCGGCGTATGGAATGGAGACCCAATGCCCATCTGTAGACAACTGGACATCCCCTCACAGAGGGGTCACAGGGAAGAGATGAGCCAGTCGGTACAGTATAGCACAGATGAAACACACAACCTTCCTCTAGTTCTTTGGTGCTTCCTTCACCCCACTATCATGACCTCAATTCTACCTTACAAATCGGATTAGACCAGAGCATGCACACTGCTACAGAAAAGAGCCCGCAACACAGGGCATCCAGGATAGATGAAGTCCTCAGGACCAACAAGGAGAGTAGAGATACCAGGAGGATTAGGGGAGGGTGGGAGGAGAAAGGGGGAAACGATTACAAGGATCAAACTAGAACCCCCTCCCAGGGGGACGAATAACAGAAAAGTGGGTGAGGGGCAATGGAGAAGGATGTTAAGACATGAGAAAAATAATCTATAACTTATCAAGGGTTCGTGAGGAAGGGTGGGTGGAGAAGGGGGGGGGGAGAAATGGGGAGTGAATATCAGGGGCTTAAGTGGGAAGAGAAGGTTTTGGAAATGATGATAGTGGCATTTGTGCAAATGTGCTTGACATACCGGAGGAATGTATGGATTGTGATAAGAGATGTAAGAGCCCACAATAAAAGTATTTTTTTTTAAGTGCTGAAAAAGTTGGCTTATACACGAGTATATATGGCATTTAGGTTTTATTTTGTTAGTTTGATAAAACTTGATTGGCTTAATTTAAAAAAAACTACCATAAAATAGTGTGATTAGGACTAAACTCAGTAAGAATGAGTTTGGTTTTTTTAATCTTTATTAAATTTTTTAAATTTTTATTTAATATTAAAATAAAATGTCTATGTGTTTTTAACCTAAAAAAAAAAAAAAAAGATTTACCATCTGGGAAACCCATAAGAAACCCTATTCTATTGGGTTGATAAGTGTGGGAACTGACTCGATGGCAGTGAATTTGATTTTGGTCTCCGACAGGTTTCTGTCTTATATAGATTCTGGCTTTCTCGGGTTTTACCATGTGCTCCCATGTGGTGTGTGGGTTTACACACTGCAGACACACACAGGTACCCTCTACCTGTTGTCAGGTGGAGACAGGCAGCAGAAGAGAGGGACACAGTTGACCTGAGAGTGGCCACACTGAAAGGGTGGGAGGGATTCACTGAGAAGTGATCTTCTCAGCAAAGACTGGAAGTAAGTGAGGGAGCGATGTGGAAGTGAGGGGCAGCCTTCTGGGCCAAAGGAACCATGGCAACAGAGGCCGTGAGGCAGGAGCAGGCCTAGCAAGTTCAGGGAGCATCCAGGAAGCCAGTGGCGATGGAGTAGAGTGAGCAAAGGGAGAGGTGCAGGTGAGGCCCGAGGGCTGAGTGGTCAGCAGCCAGGAGCTGGTATCAAGACTGCCATCAGGCTTTCCCCGCTCGAAGTAAGGTAGACTGGAGGAAACTCTTGGTTTAAGCAAGCCTGGCCACTAATAATGCCTGGCACGCAAGCACACATATTGACTGGCAGGATGAACAGATGCAAAATGGGGATGGGCGATGAAAATCATTGCATTATTGTGGGGACTACTAAAGGAAATCACGCAACACAGAGCTCCCACAGAGCTCCCACAGAGCAAGTGGTCACCCACAGGGAAGAGGGGTGCACAGTGGGGTGTCCACCTATGAAAACACCCACTGAACTCGAACTTAATTATTAAGTGCGTTCCGTCAGTGATGCTCAAACGTCAAGGTACCTCAGCATCATCACCAAGGTAGCTTACCATGAAGCAGAATCCGCCCCAAAGATTCTGAGTCTGTAATGTCTGGGGCAGGACCCAGGAATTCATAACTATACCGAGAGAAAGTGTGTCAGGTGCAGGTAAGACATGGCCTAATGAAAGGGAACCAGAACTAGATGGTGCCCGGCCGCCACCGCCACCATCAAACGCTCTGAAAGGGGGCATATTAGAAGGTCCTGGAGGGAAATGTGGAAGAGAACTGGCAATCAGAAAAGGGACCAGACCCACTGGTCAAATGGAGGCTGGCTGGACGCCCCAGGAGCAAGGCCCTTAAGTCCCCCTTCAGGTCTAGAGCTACCAGGATAAGTAAGCCACTGAAGATCAAAGGACAGCATTTACCCAAGGATGGGGGGTTGGAGAGGCGGAGGGTGGAAACAAGAAGCAAGGGAGGAAGGGGGCCAGGCCAGCATCCATTGTGGGGAGGAGGGGGATATAAGAATGAGCAGAAGCAAAATGCGTACAAATTGTTGAATGTAAGCCTTCGGGTAATCCGTGATAAAAAGCTGGAGGTGGGGGGGTGGGAGGGCAGAGCTGGGGGCGGGGCGGCAGGGCCTCCTTACCTGGGCGAGCGGGATGACCCTCTCCATGCGGAGCATGCGGTCCCGCAGGGCCTGCAGCTCGCGGTCCTTGCTGCTGTTCTGCAGCTTCACCTCCTGCAGGATGCCCGTCAGCTTGTCGATGTGCGCCCGCAGGTCCTCCACCTCCGCCCCGCGGGCGCCCTCCTCGCCACCGCCGCTGCCGCCGCCGCCTTCCTCCTCGCCCACCGTGTCCCAGACGTCGCGGGCCACCGCGCGCCAGGCGTCCCCCGGACCCTCGGCCTTGCCGTAGGTGCGGCACAGCTCGCGCATCTTGAGGGCGGCCAGGGCCTCGATCTCGGCTCGCCCGTGGCGGAAGTCGGCCAGGGCCACCTCGTAACAGATCTCCTTCACCGCCTGCATCTTCAGGTCAGCCATGGTGGCCCAGCGGGGGTCTTTCCCCTGCAGCCGGCGCCGCTGGGGGATCTGGTACACCCTGCGTGGGGCCCTGCGCTTGCCGCTGCTGGGCAGGCCGCAGCGCTTGACGATGGTCTGGACGGTGGTGGGGGGCAGCTGCTCCCGCAGAGAGGAGATCAGCCGCCAGCTCTCCTCGCAGGAGCGCTTGTCAGAGTCGTCCCCGCTGTCCGAATCCGCATACTGGGGCAGAGGGGAGAATCAAAGGCTAAGGCCCGCCTGCCCCCTGTGGGCGCCAAGGGCACCAGAAACACCCCTGTCGGAGTGCCTGGGTTCAAATCCTGCTCCATCGCTTACTAATCACCAGGGGCCCTTGGACAGGCTGCTCAGCCTCTGATGAGCGTTTCCACCACGCAGAGTGGATGCATGCAGAGTCACTTAGAACAGTAGCTGGCATGAACGTGATCGGTATGCATTAGCTATGGAGTAGTGGTTGCACCGGCCACTAACCACAAGTTAAGCAGTTCAAAACCACCAGCTACTCTATGGGAGAAAGTGCTTTCTACTCCAGTAGCAGTCTCGGGAACTCACAAGGGCAGTTCTACCCTGTCCTGTAGGCTCACCATGAGTTTGCCTTGACTCGGTGGCATTGACTTCTTTTTTTTATACCGAGAACAAGAACCCCTGGAGCAGCGGTTCTCAACCTGTGGGTCGTGACCCCTTTTGGGATCAAAGGACCCTTTCACAAGGGCCGCCTAATTCATAACAATAGCAAAATGGCAGTGAAGTAGCAACGAAAATAATTTTATGGTTAGGGGTCATCACACATGAGGAACTGTATTAAAGGGTCACGGCATTAGGAAGGTTGAGAACCACTGCCCTAGAGGGTCTCTATGAATTAGAATCAACTCTACAGCCTGGGTTTGGTTGGCTGTTCTATATTTAAAGAAAAATTATAACTAACAATGCAGATTAGTACTTGGATATGGTTGTTGCCAAGTGGCCTCTGGACTCATGTACAATAGGATCTGACCATTGTGTTTCCATTGACTAATTTTTTTTTCTTTTTAGAAATAGACCGCCAGGCCTTTCTTCCTAGTCACACTTAGCCTGGAAGCTCCGCTGAAACCCATTCAGTATCCCGGTAACACACAAGCCTCCCCTGACTGACAGGCGGTGCTGTGTATGAGGTGTACCGATGGTCCTGCCTGTCAGGTAAGGGAACATTCCACTGGGTAGTCACACTGGGATCTGGTGAAAGGACCCAGCATCCACCAGTGCCTGGGAAACCCTGGTCAACTGGGAGGGGCGTTAGCTCCCTGTACATCCTGGTTTCTTCTTCGATCACAGTTCTTCCAAGCTCTCCTCCCCAGAGACCAGGCCCCACCCTCATCCCCATCCCCACTTCTGCTCCGGCTCCGAGCAGGTGATTAAAACTCTCCCCAGCCTCACTGCTCGTCCACTCACTAGCCCGTCCCGGGCCTCTGCACACCCACCGCACCCCAGCCCCGGGCCCTCACCAGTCGCTGCTGCTCCAACAGAAGATCGGCCTCTTCCTTTTCCTTCCGGTACTGGTTCTCCAGATCCTGCAGCCTGGGTTTGGGGAGGGGGGCAGAAAGAGCTGTATGGGGTTCAGGAGTCACTTCAAGGGGTGACCAACCACATAGGGATGCTGGGGGCGGCGGATGGGGTCCACAAGGAACAGCCTCGAGGGACTGCATGCAGGTGGGCTGCCCAGCACCCTTCCCCGCACCTCTTCTCCATCTCCAACTTGATGTCAATGCCCTGCTGCTCCAGCAGCTCCTTCTGGGCAAAGTTCCAGTCGACAGGCTCCAAGGGGGGCCCCGGGGGCGGGGGGACCCCTCTTTCCCGCTCCAGCCGTGCTTGCTCCGGGTGATTGAAGCGGAAAACATGGTTCTTGCCCATGACAATCCTATTCCCTGGAGATGGGAGGAAGGAAATGTAGAGTTGCTGCCCTAGAGCAGGGAACTCACCCCCAGGTCCACGGCACCTAACACATGAGCCCCAGGCCTGTCCGCCCCCCATCCTCCATCATGCCAAGTCCAAGGGAGCTGACACCAGAAGCCACTCTACCCCTGCTGGCCAGCCAAAAGAGACACCGACACCCTTCTCTCCAGCCCAGCAGGTGGCCCCCAGACCAGACTCCTTTCTCATGACAATCTAGTCCTGTCCGCACAGCCCCATGCCACTGCCTATTTTAGGGTCTGACCCATGAATTTACCCAGAAGGCTCAGCATGGGACTTGCTACCAACAACCATGCCCAGGACCCTCCCACCACAGCCCTTCTACCTGACTTCAGCACCAGCGGCTCGGCCACCAGCTTCCCATTGACGTATGTCTCGGCCCCTTCACACGGCTCCAGTGTGACCACCACTGAGCAGAGGGAGACAGGGCATGGGGAGATCGGATTATGGGGAGAGGTTGGGTTGTGGTCATGGACTCCCCCCTTGCATTGGCTCCCCCCAAAACACACATGCGCTACCACTCCCACCCCTAGTACCTGTCGGGGTGCCAAGGCCCCTCTGGTGGCAGGCAGCACAGAAAGGAAGAGCAGAAGGAGGGTTAGAGCCCCAACTACAACTCCCAGAAACCCCTGCAATGGCACGCTACCCACCCACCACCACGGACCCCAACCGAAGCTTGGAAAACCATTCTCAGGAGGCTTCATCCCTCGTGTTCAAAGGGATGGCCCTTAACTAGTTCACACCTCGTGTTCTAGTGGACATCTGCCTTCCAAATATCCATTCCCTCCTTTCCAACAATATGATCCCTGACGGGGCTGGGATTCTTCTAGCAGGTCCCATCTCTTGGCCTCCACACCTCTCCCAAACAACGCCCTGGCTCATCCGGTGCAACCCGGCTAGCATATCACTCTTCACAAGACAAGATAAAGTCAAGCCAACCCACATCTATCCAGTTGCTCCTGTGAAAATTACCACGACTGCCACTTGCTGGGGACACAAAGGTACATGCCCTTGAGGACTGGTGCCTCTTATCACGGAGGGACTTCTGTACCCCAGAGAACCAGACACCTCAACTTCTTAGCTGAGGGACACTGAGCAAGTCGTCTAACTGCAGTGAGCTGCTGTCAAACAAAGCTTCCTTTATAGAGTTGTTGAAAGACCCGCACAAATAAGCCATAAAGTGACGTGCAGACTCCTAATGATCGCCTCCAACTAAGCAGCACACAGGTTCGTAAACAACGTCACCCCGGAGCCCTGTGCTCCTTGCAAGCACGAACTCTACGTGAGGTCAGACGACCCGCGTTGACCCACTGCGGAGATGGGGAGGTCAGGGTGAGGCAGGCAGCGGGGAAGCTGGATTGACAGGACCGGAACCCTGGGAAATGCCAACGCAGGGTGAAAATGGTAGCCAGTTAACACTGCACAGTTTGTATGGGTGCTGCTGCCAGCTCCCACTCATAACAGCCCCATAGGAAACACAAGGAAGCTCTGCTCGGCCCGCGTCATCCTCGCAGTGGTTCTGTGAGAGCCCACTGTTGCAGTCACTGTGGACTGAGGTTGCTATCTGAGAACCCAATAGGTGGTGCCAGCTTTTGCCAAAATCTGAATAAACCATTTCTGAAGGAGGACATGCAAACGTGATTTTTGGTTATTGTAGTCATACATGTAATACACCCAGAAACCAGAATTCGTTGTAGCGCCAGGCAGTGTGTGCCACTTCTCCCTCCTGGGCATGAAGGCTGATGTGGGAGAACAAAGCAAGCAGAGAAAGACCAGTCTGGGGCCCCGGAAACCAAACTCATCTCCATCGAATCAATTCTGACTCATCACGACCCTGCAGGGCAGGGAAGAACTGCTTCTGTGGGCTTCTGAGCCTCCAACCTTCCTAACACTGCGACCCTTTCATACAGTTCCTCATGTGGTGGTGACCCCCAACCGTAGAACTATTATCGTTGCTACTTCTTACTGTCATTTTGCTAATGTTATGCATTGGGACCCCTGTGAACGGGTCATTCGACTCCCAGAGGGGTCACCACCCACAGGTTGAGAACCGCTGCTAACCCTTTAAGGCAGAGAGAACCTCCTCGTCCTCCAGAGCAGCTGGTCATTTCGAACTGCCGACCCTGCAGGCAGCAGTCGAACTCAGAACGCTCTACACCCCCAGGCTTCCTTCTGTTTAGGGGTACAGGGCTGGGAATGATTATGTTGGCCCACTCTTGCAGGGAAGGGAGACTGACTGCAATTGGGCAGAAGTGATGGAGACGAGGAAGAGGGCAGAGAGCCAGCTGGGAATATCGCCAGGTGGTGGCTGAAGTGGCTGTCCTTCCCCACCCTTACTTCCCAGGATGCCCCAAATGCATTCACTCATGCCACAGAGGTATTGAGCCTCCCATGTGCCAGGTCCTATCTTAACCAAAAGACAAGCAAAACAAATGTGTGCCCGTCGAGTCGATGTTGGCTCCCGGCATGCTGTCGGGCTGAGCGGAACTGCCCTGGGGGTTTCCAAGGCTGTGATATTCGCGGAAGCAGACAACCTCCTCTCTCTCCCGAGGAGTAGACTCAAAATACCAACCTTTCAGGTAGTAGCCAGTGCTTAACCACTGCGCCACTAGGGCTCCTGGCACTCTCTTACCAAACTGCCACCAAGTCCATATGGCCGGAGAGCAACTCTAGGGAGAGCGAGGCTGCCTCGGCATCGAACTGCCCACGGCAGCAAGCCGTTACAGAAGCAGACTGCCACATCTTCTGCGGAGTGGCTGGTGGACCAATGGCTGACCTTTCCCTTAGCCACTGAATCACTGAGCCGCCAGGGCTCTCGGGCCCTATCTCAAGTCTTGGAAACAGAATAGGAAAGAGGGGGGAAAAAGCCCCAACTGCCGTGAGCTTATCTCTGGCTGCTAAGGCAGACAATAAACAATAAGCAGTCTGAAGTCCAGAGGGAACAGGTGTCAAGACAGGAGGGGACCTCCTGAGACCAGGTGAGGAGATGAGCGCCCAGCCAGGTCAACTTTCTCCGCTTTGCGTCCAGGAGGCCACAACCTCGGCACTGAGGCGGCACCAGGCGGAGCTGGCATCCTGGGTTGGAATCCAGTTCTGCCATCTTCTAGTGGGTGCTCTTGGGGAAACCACCTGAGCCCCGAGGGCGCTGGTTCCCTCACCTGGGAGCTGTGTGAAAGTAATGTGCAGACACAAAGCGACTCCCTAGTAAGTCGCCATCAGTCTTCTCCTGCGTTGGCTGGCGTCGTGGGTTATGTGAGTTCACAACCGCCACAAGGTCCACAGTTCATGACCACGGACCACTCCACACGAGAACCCCCAGGGGGGCAGTTCTCGGTCCAACAGGGTCCCTGTGGGTCAGAATGAACTGGATGGTTTTGAGTTTGGCTTGGCCCACGCTGTCCCCCACCTCCAGGCCTGCCTCTGGCAAAGTCTTAAATCTGCCCCAAGAACCCAGAGATGAACCGCTGCCCCAAGTCAACTCCTGCTCGTGGCAACCTCGCGTGTGCTGCAGCCGTCCTGCTCCGGCGGGTTCGGTGGTCCGTTCTGCTTAAGTGGATTGCCAGGCCTTTCTTGAAGCGCCTCCGGGAGGATTCTCCTCTCCATCTTTTCCACGAGCAGCCTAGTACACTGCTTGCGCCAGGGACCCCACAAGAACAGAAGCCCTAGATGGGCACCTTTTATAGCCCTGCTGGGGAGGCACAGCATCCCTAGCTGCTTTCACTGGCCTGTAACAGTTTCCCACAGGTGTGCCTTATCTCCCCAGACACTTCTGGAGGGTGGGCTCACCGGGAGGCCTTGGAGGGCTCTGCTATCTCCCCCAGCACCTGCTCCAGGTAACCGCAGAACAGAAACTTGGCAACAACTCACTGCCCTAAACTGCGGTGGTGGAATGTTCACCCACAATGCCAGAGGTGTTTGCTGGCACCGAACCAGAACGACTGCTTCATCTGCAAGCCCTGGACTAAGCAGACGCTCCACGTGCCTGCTCTCCACCTGAGATGTTCAGCCACCTAGTAGAAGTTTCCCTTCTTTTAAGGGTTCACTCAGCCCCAAAGTGCGAGAAATTCTGGATTTCAGAACCACTTAAAACCTGTTTCTGCATGTTCCTCCCTTTTGATTAAGATTTGTCATTTGAATCTTTGCTCAAGATATTCAGCAAGTTCAGTAAAGGCATCCGGGCACTATCTTTTTCTTCTGGTCTCCTGGCAAAGGCGCCCATCGGGCACAGGTCACACACCCTCCCCAACTCTGGCTTCTCCTCCTCCCTCCGTGGCTCTAGGTGAGTCAGCCCAACTGCTGTGCCCTGCATGGCCACCTGCAAGCTTGTCACCCCCGGGCACCACACAACAAACTAGCTGGTAGGGCAGAAGCACTAAACATGTTATTTAGTCTAATTAACCAGGATATCCTATAAAACCATAATCCTAACCGTCAAAGCCAAGAAATGAAATCCCACGAGGTGTTTGGTGTACCCCAGCAGCTTCAGCGGCAACTCTTTTTGTCGCCGGCGTTGAAAGTTTCTCTCACAACTTTTTAGGACTGGCTGACAGTGGTGACATCTATCGGTGTGCAACTCTACCTTTAATCACTGAGAGCCACACCGAGTGCTGCCTACAGAGAGCTCCCTCCCACCCTGGTGACCACTCATAGACATTCGTTGTGCTTGTCAGTGATTGATTTAGGGGAAGCAGAACACCAAGCCTTTCTTCGCTGCCACCTTACAGCCTGTGGCTCCTGACAGCTTTGGCTACTCTGACCATATAAGGGAAAAACTTCTTTAAAGGGTTTGGAACCAGAGGGATTACTCGGACCAATTAACTCCCAGAAACTTGTATGGTCATAGCTCAAGAAGCACAAAGATGTTCCAAAAAGATGCATTTAGATAGGCCACAAAAACAAACGCAGGTTTCCATTGGAAAAGAGAAAGAGACAGACAGACGGACCGACCAGGGTGTGGTTCCAGGCTGGGGGAATCAAAGAGGAAAGCGGGGACGGCTTCCTCACCAAACTCTCGCTTCCGGTAATGCTCCACTTTACTCCGGTTTTGATTCACGGGCCCTCCCTACTCTCCGACCATTGCAGTGGTCTGCTCTCTCAGGGTCGGTGCAGATGGCCAGACCCTTGGAGCCCGCCCCTCCCCCTACTGCTTACCCATCAGCTACAAGCTCCTCGGAGGGCAAGCACGTACCACCTGTTCACATGGCCCCCCAGTGCCTGGCCCAGGCCTCTGTGTCAGTGTTGGCCAGACCCCCGCACTCCCGCAGGCGTTACCTTCTCCGTCCACCTGAGGGATGCTCCGGAACAGGCAGTGCTGCTCCTGGATGAACTGCCCAGTCAGCTTGATGTCCACATCCACCTGGCCTACCCTGGGGAGCAGCACCAGGATTCTCTGAGCGCGCGTCGGGGTCTGCCAAGCCCGGCACGAACACGCGCTCAGTCCACTCAAGGAGCCCGACCTCACGACCCCTCTCATGTCAGGAGAAGAGGGCTACACAGCGGGGCAGTGATGAGTAGGGGGCTAGAGCCCGTTTCTACGTCACTGTGTCATACGACAGCAGCGAGGGTGTGGGGAGATTACTGGAGAGAGATGGCTTCCCTCAGCAGGGGGCCTTCCAACCATCCTTTGCGCCAATCCCTCACTCCCTACCCTCAATGATCACCCAGGATGGACAAAACACCAGTGGGGGGCAGGGAAGGACCCTCGCCCCTTGAATGACAGGAGGTGACATTGGAGACACAAAGGCCCAGGGGGCTCATTAGCACAGGCCGGGGAAGCAACAGGGGGCTGGGCCTTGTTTCCTTTCTCCTGCCCCTGGGGCAGTCGCACCAAGATGCCAAGGCAAATGGTGTCGAGAGTTATTGAAAGACGTTCCGAGATGACTCTTCAGCTCTAGTCCGCCAGGAGCTCTGCCCACAGCACCGGGTCCATTTGGTCCCAGGAGCCAGTGGGCTCTCACCAAAGGGAGCAGGTGGAGGCAGACAGGCTCAGCAACCCTCCCGGAACCCCTCGGGGCAGGCAGAGCTGTGGGGCAACTTTCAGAGATCTGTGGTGTCTCCAGCGAGGTCACCGAGGTCACCGCGAAAGGGAGTCACCACAGTGGCCTCTGTGGGACCAAACCCTGCGGAAGAGGCTGCCCCTGAGGCCCGCTGAGCAAGCGCTACCTGGTGACTCCATCTTTGATGTGGTAGAGCAGACATTCCGACATCAGGGGGTCTTCATTCAGGTTCACCAGGTGGGGAGTCTGAGGGGGAGACAGGAGCCAGTGGTCAGGGGGAGGATCATGAGAGCCAGCCAGGGCGGGGTCCACCAGGGGGGAGGGAGAGCCACAAGACACACCTGCGCTAGTTTCACTCTCCCTTCCGGAGAAGCGGCCTGCCCTCACGCCCATCATCATTCCCTCTGCCCAGAAGGACCCCAGAAAGGGCAAGGGCGTGGGCTCCCACTTCTCCTCTGTACCATCCAAGTGGCTCTGCAGACCACTGACTGGGGCCTACCCTACGTCTTCCACGCTCTCCTCACACGCAGAGGGCCTATGAGAGAACCCCTCCCGGGGGCAGCAATCTTTCCTGGGGCTGCTCCTGTCAGAAACGCCTGGACCCCAGGGGTTCCACGGACTGGGACCTTTGGGAACTGCCTGCGCCTTTCTCTTCAGTCCCTACCCCTCCTCCCTCCGGTCCCCGGATCCCACCATTCCCTCTCTCCAAAGCTCACTGGCAAGTTCCAGAGAGAGCGAAGGCAGACTGGCCCTCCCCTTCCCGAAGCTTGGATTTCTTAGGAACACGCAGGACATTGCCATCCATGTAAGCGATCGATCGCACTGTAGAAGAGCAAGCAAACCCGGGCCTCACACCAGCCTCCCCTGCAGGCCGTCAGGCTCAGGCCTGGTCCACCCCTGCCCTGGGCTACCTCAGCACTCCTGTCCCCAGCTGCACAGAAACCTCAGCACACTCCTGTCCCCAGCCTATTGTCCCAACTTCTCCATGTCGCTTGATAGGATTCTGAGCAGCACACAAGTCTGTACCTGCTACACCACAGCCCACTCGGGCCACCAGCTGCCACATCTGCTGCCTCCGGTGGAGCCTGACTGCCCAGGCCACATGGCCCCCTGGTCATTTCCCTTCCTCTAGGATCAGAGCGGTCTAGCTGGCACCTATGCCCCCTGACTTTGCAGCCAGCTGTAACCCTTCCAGCCTCCCAGACTGCAACCCCCTCTCCAATTCCATGCTCCCAGCTGGAGGCTGCTGAGCACTCCCCCCCAGAAGCAGGGCTCCTGCTCCCCTGATCATGGACCAGTCTCCCTCCCTGCCCAGCCCCCCCGTCAAAAATCACTCACTTCCTTCAGTCAGTCTCAAATGCCACTTCTTCCACGAAGCTTTCCTGAGACTTCCACCCAAACTCAAGCTCCCCTGACCTGGCTCTGTGTTCCACGGATTTACGGTGGTCATTCTACATGAGACCCCGATCGCTCGTGGGGGCAGAGGACAGAGAGAAGTCCCACCCAGGTGCTGCTGTTAAGGAAACCAGAGTCAACCTGAGGAGCTAAAAGTTGGCATGGAAACTGTAGCGGGGAGAGGCGATGCCTCATTAAAGCCTTCTGATCTCCCCGCTCCCTCACAAGTGCATTTCCTCGCTCATTCCTCTGCTCCTGGAGAGTGGTTCACTGTGTCCTGGGAGGGACTCCCTGGCCAAGCAGGACAAAGTGAAGAACAATGGGAGCTTGGGTGGGGGGAGGGTAAGGCCTGCACAGACGCGCAGGGGCGAGGAAGCGCAGGGAGGGTGGAGGGAGAACAGCCTGCGGTTTACAAAAAAAAAGAAAGACTTATGCCCACTGAGTCTGACTCACAGCGACCCTATAGGGCAGGGCAGCAGAACTGCCCCTGTGGGATTCCAAAGCTCTTTATGGGAGTAGAAAGTCCCATCTTGCTTCTGGAGAGCTGATGGTGGTTTCGAACTGCTGACTTGCCACTAGCAGCCCAATGCATAACCACTGACCCACCAGGGCCCATTCTTTCTTCAGTCCCTCACCCCAGACAGTGAGCTCAAGGCTGCGCTTGGAGCACTCCATGTGTCGTCCCCCCCACGGGGGCGCCCCAACGTTCCCCCTTTCTCCCACAAGATGCTCAGGACACCTCCCCTGCTGCCACCGTGTCAGGCCTGAACAGACGGCAGCACTGACGGACTCTGGGAGCTGAAAGGGAGCAGCCCCTGGGGAGAGGGAACATGATTTGGGGCAGTGTTTTTCAATCTCTGCTTGGCCCCAAAAGTCTTTGTTCACATGAAACCTTAACTAGAAGCCCAGGCCTGAAGCAGATAAGCAGAGAGCTGCTCAGGTCGAGACTGGGGGGTGGGACCCAGAGTCTGTGCCTGCCTCTCCGGGTGTAGCCTGTGAAGGAAGCTCCTTAAATCTCGAGTGAAGAAACCCTCGGGCCTGGCCGAGGGGTCCCAGCAAGAAGGGGCTTTGCCTAAGGGTCTTTGTTCTCTAACCAAAGGCAGCTCTCGACCCTTAGGGCTCAATTCCCCATCCAACTATTTCTGGGTGGGAGCTACTGCCCCCGCCCCCAAACCTGTTGCCCACATAAGCCGAGCCCCTCTCCCCTCAGGAACACCCAAAACACTTCAACAATTCGAACCATGTTCTTCCTCACCACCTGAAGACCCCCGTTTTCACCCACCAGATGGCAGAGATCAGAAAGCCTGATGGCCCAGGCTGCTGCTCTCAGAGCACAAACTAGTATGGCTGTAATGTCTTTAATGGCTGCATGTGACCGCAGATCTCCACTTCGAGGAACGCAGTCAACAGACAAGAGACCGATGTACAGGACCGTATCGTAGCACTGTTTGTAGTAGCCCGGGACTGGAGGCAACCTAAATATCTCTCAGTTGGACGCTGATTGAATAAATGACCCGACAGCTGTACAATGGAATCCTCAACAGTGACGAAGAATGAGACAAGTGTCCTACAGACTGGCGCGGACAGAACACGGGCAAAAACCAAACCCACGGCCATGGAGTCGACTCTGACTCAGAGAGGCCCCAGGGACAGGGCAGAACTGCTGCTGCCCTGTGAGTTCAGGGCCAGAACTCCTGACGGGAGTAGAAAGCCCTTCTTTCTCCTGCAGAGCGGAACGGCAGGTGGTTTCAAACTGCTGACCTTGTGGGTCAGCAGCCTAACTCAGAGCCACTGTCACCAGGGCTCCTTGTGGACAGAAGACAGATATGGGAGAAAAGGACGGTGTCAGACGTGCAGCCACTCCTAAGAGGGAGGCTGTGCGTGCGTGCAACCTGTGCAGCCTGTTCTTCCAGGTCTCCCAAGTCATCTTCCCTGAACAAGGCCCAGTCGTGGTTAGGCACTGGGCTACTAACCACAAGATCAGCCCCTCGGCTCTTGAGTTTGTTGAGCTTTTGAATGTCACTCCTGCCCTGCTGCCTTCCTCCACCCCCCTCCCCTCCCTTCTGCCCAGACTGACTGAGCACGTGTTTTGTGGCAGGCAGTTTGCCAGGCGCTGCCGAACCCTGCTCGGCCCCAGGACTGCCCGGGCGCCTTGTGTTTGCGTAGTCTGGTGGTCTCCCTGCTCATCTCCACCCTGCACAGGCCATTCACCTTTCAGGCTTCACTTTCCAAGCCAGCTTCTCCAGGAGGCCCCTTTCCGCAGGCCGCACAGAGGCCACGCTGTGTTCACGGGCGCTGTCTTACGATGTAGTGCTTCCGCCCCCTCTGTAGCTTGTCTTCTGGGTGATCCTCTCTCAATTGCTACTTCTGTAGTTTTCTTTTTGGTTTCCCCATTGGTGAGACATGTGCAGTCCCCTGATGGGACTGGGCTGCTAAACACAAAGCCAGCAGTTCGAAACCACCAGCTGCTCCTTGGGAGGAAAACAGGGCTTTCTAGTCCCGTAAAGAGTTACGGTCTCGGAAACCCACAGGGGCAGCTTCACCCTGTCCTAGAGGGCCACTCTGAGTAGAGTCGGCATGTGAATTTTTGAGAAAACATGCGCAAGGTACCAAGTTCCAATCACACAAGAGACTATGGGGAATGAGTCTCTTTCCCACTCCTGGGTTCTGGGCTTGGCTGCTGACCAAAAGGTTGGAGCCTCAAGTCGACCCAGAGGTACCTTGAAGAAAGGCCTGGCCATCTATTTCTAAGAAATCAGCCATTGCCAACACTCCGGAGCACAGTTCTACTGACACACACACATGCCATCACTGAGTGGGAATCCTCTCCGTGGTGACGAGCTAGCTGGCTCCCCTCTTCTCTACAGCCAACCACAATCATCAGTTTCTGGCGAATCCTTCCAGAGAACAATTCCTACATGTGTGAGTTGATGTTTGTGGACACCTAGTCTAAGCAGCTCTTAAACCCCCCCCCCCATGGGCAGGGGCCCTGACATCTCTGGTCCCCGAGTCCCTGGCACCAGGCACATCATAGGCTCTTGCTCTCCAGCTCACTCAGACAGATGGATAAAAGGAAGCAGGCAGGTATGGTTGGACAACACAGAGGGGAAGGGACAGAGACGAGCCAGGGACCATTCAGAGATCTCAGGGGGTGCAGGAGAGGAGACCAAGGTCAGAAGCGCCCCAGTCTCTAAGCGTCCAGGGAGCTCCCTCCTCGCTCAACTTGTCACCCACCTTCTTTGGAGAGAAAACGCCCACAGTTCCTCCATCTTCTCGCACAGCCACCCCCATCTCAGCCAGCAAGGCTTCTCTGTGAGCAAAGGGGGGGACAAATGGCAGTTTTATCATTGAAACCCTGGCCTCCCCACTCTACTCCTCCTTGGCCTCCACCCCAGCCCTGCACACCTCTCCATCCTCAGGGCTTCCGTCTTGCGTAGCTTCTCCTCCCAGGTCTCATTCAACTCAGCTATAATTTTCTCTGTCTCCTGGGGGGACACAAAGACAGGCAGCGATCGGGACAGTCTAGGACAAGCGTCTACCACAGGGTCACACTACTCCAGGGATTCCGTCTCTCTCTACAAGCCCTGGTTTTGGAGAACTGAACTTCCAGCAGTCCCCTGAGCCCCACGCGTTCCCCGGTTCAGCTTCCCACCTGCAGCCTCTCCATGGCCTCCTCGGGCCCAATCTGGGGCTCAACATTGGGGGAGAATGGTGGCTCCAGCTCCCCATTGTGTGCCGGGGGAGACAGGGGTGAAGCCGGGGCAGAAGGCGTCGACACTGCAGGCAGAGCACCTCCAGGACTCCCCTCTTCCACCTTCAGGTCTGTGAGGGACAAAGAGGAGAAAGAGGGAAGAGGGAGGGAGGTTGGAGCTGATCAGAGGCCCAGTGAGGGCCAGGCGCTCCCAGGGCACCAAGGACCTCCGATGACATCTGGCCACCTCCAGGCAGGGACCTGCCGTCCTCCTGCGGCCATTATGCTATGCCATTGAGTTGATTCGAACTCATAGCAACCCTACAGGAGAAAGCCGAGCTACCTAGGCTAGACTCCTTACAGAAACAGGTTCAAACCACTGGCTTCTTTCAGCTGGAACCCAGCGCTTAACCCCTACACCCCCAGGGCTCCTTCCTTCTCCTGTCCTTGTCGTCCTCAGGTGCCATCTGGTCAGTTCTCAGAGCAACCCCTTGTATAACAGAGCAGAACACTGGAGGGCCACGTGGCACCCTCACCCATGGGGTGTTTGAGCCCACGGCTAGAGCCACCGTGCCACTCCCTCTTGTCCAGGGCCTTCTCTTCGCTGCCCCTAATTTCGCCAAGCATGATGTCCTTCTCCAGGGACCAGTCTCTCCTGCTGACATGTCCCAAGAATGTAAGACAAAAGTTCTCGCTACCCTTGCTTCCACGGAGCATTGTGGTACACTTCTTCCAAGACAGATTTGCTTGCTCTTACAGAAGTCTCAGCGGTGTGTTATACTCGTCCCCAAGCCTACAATTGACTCAATTGCACCAAGTGCACCAGTGCTTCTTCGGTCTCTTATCCACTGCCCAGCTCTTGCACGTATAAGGCGATTGAAAACACCTGGGCTTGAGTCAGGTACACCTCAGTCTTCAAGGGCCTTCTTGTTCTTTCATGCTTTAAAGGGTCTTTTTTTTTTTTAATCATTTTATTAGGGGCTCATACAACTCTATCACAACCCATACATACATCAACTGTGTAAAGTGCATTTGTACATTCATTGCCCTCATCATTCTCAAAACATTTCCTCTCCACTTAAGCCCCCGGCATCAGGTCCTCATTTTTCCTCCTCCCTCCCCGCTCCCCCCTCCCTCATGAGCCCTTGATAATTTAGAGATTGTTATTTTGTCAGATCTTGCCCTGTCTGACGTCTCCCTTTACCCACTTTTCTATTGTCCGTCCCCCAGAGAGGAGGTCACATATAGTTCCTTGTAATCGGTTCCCTCTTTCCTACCCACTCTCCCTCTACCCTCCCTGCTTCGCCACTCACACCACTGGTCCTGAAGGGATCATCCGCCCTGGATTCCCTGTGTTTCCAGTTCCTATCTGTACCAGTGTACCTCCTCTGGTCTAGGCAGACTTGCAAGATCAGATTCGAGTCATGGTAGTGGGAGTGGGGAGGAAACATTTAGGAACTAGAGGAAAGTGTATTTTTCATCGCTGCTACATCGCCCCCTGACTGGCTCGTCTCCTCCCCGAGACCCCTCTGCAAAGGGATCTCCAGTGGCCTACTAATGGGGGCTCATACAACTTAGAGGTCTTTTGCAGGAGATTTGCCCAAGGCAATATGCTGCTTGCGTTCTGGACTGCTGCTCCCACAGCACCGATTGGGAATCCAGTAGAAGAAGAGCCTTGACAAGGGCAGTCTTTCCCCCAGTTTTCAGGATGTCGCTCACTGCGCTAGTCGAGAGAATCTCTTTTATCTTGGAGTGTGACCCACGCTGAAGGCTGGAGGATCGGATCTTCGCCAGTAACTCTTCACTTTCAGCAGGCAAGGTGTGCTGTCTGCACATCGCAGGGAGCTAATGAGTCATCCTCCAAGCCGGATGCTGCCTTCTCCTTCGTAGAGGTCAGCTTCCTAGCTTATGTGATCAGCATATAGATGTAGTCAAAGGATCCAATCCTGGCACAAAAACGGGCACCAAGGCTCCGTTAACAAGCCAGTGCCACTCCGTGAGATGAAATCTGCCTCAGGTTTTCGCTTCCACCCCGTGAGGTACAAGAGATCACACGGCATTTTTCTCTGCCTGACAGCCCTTCAAACGGTGGAAGGCAGACAGCCAGCATGGCCGCCTTATCCTCCTCTTCCGTTTTATGCACGGCTCCAAGTCCCTCAGCACCCTGTATGCCCTCCACAGGCTGGACCCAAGACTGAATGAGGAGTCCACCTGGGCTTGTCCAGCGTGGAGCATACACCTCATAGAGCAGCTGCTTTCGACGAAAGAGGCCGGACATTATTGCCCTTGAGAACGACTTCACTGTTGGCTTCTATGATGCTCATGATCAGCTAAACCCTTGTTGTTTCTAGCAGAGCTCCGCCAAGAATATTCTTTATGATTTATTTATTTTTAATGCAGAAATTGACATCCCTCCTCCTGTCATTGTATTGGTTCCAAGAGCCTGTCAAGGTCCCTCTGAATCCTGACTCCCCCAGGAAAATAAGTCCCTCCCAACTTTGTAGTCTCCAAGGGTGTGAGAAGCCCCAGCTCCACGCTGTATCCAGGCCACTGAGAGCAGGAAGGCTTTCACAGCGGGCGGGCCCTCCCCACCTGAGGACTGGGCAGAGGCAAGTGAGGAAGGACAAGGAGTGGCGGAGCTGCGCTCTCCAGGGTCTCTCACCTCCCAAGGCGGAGGCTGAGAGCCCCTGCACCAGCAGCAGTTCCCGCAGCCGGGCCACCTCCTCCTGCAGCTCTCGGATCAGCCGGGCATTGGGGTCCTCGTTGATGACAGCATTGCACCGGATCTGCTTGGTGCGGTCTGCATACCTGGTGTAGGTGTGAGAGGCCAGGGTGAGGGAGGCCCACAGGGGAACCTCTGGCCTGTGACCTAGGTTCTGCTCTCCCACCCAGGGGCAGGGTTGGGGTCCACCCTGTCTCATGTGCAGGGTCCTGGGAAGCTGGGCTCTGAGTCCTCGACACTTTTTGTCTGCTGCCCACACCTGCCAGAGCCTGGTGCCCCACCTGAGGGTGCTAAGCGTTTCCTCATAGTTGATGTCAGCAGGGCTCAGGGCTGCAATCATCGCGGTCCGTGAGTT